ACACTTACTAAAATGTTATTTACAAATTAAAATCTAATCTTGAACACTTGTAATTGTAATGATCTTGTGTTGCAAGTGCCGTAAAACTCTTACTAAACCTAAACCGTCATCTTGTTGGCGTGGTGGAGGTGATTTCTTGTTGAAATAAATCTAGTCACACCATTCTCGGTAAAACTTGCTAAAGTTGTAAAAATCAAATAATAGACCAAATGTGAGGTGCATAATATCTTTTGAACAAAGGGGATAATGCCCCGACTATTCAAAGCACAGTTGATCTCCCTGCTCCAGCGGCCCCCAGTTTAAGACAATGAGTGGCCGTCTTGTACAATTTCGACTGTATAATGTCCACTTTTGAGGAAAAAAGTGGTTGTCTTGGACAGGTTGATGTCTTAGACAGTGTGTAATAAACAAAAACAAAAAAAAAGAAACAAAACCCAAACTGATGAGACACCTATGTTTTTCAGAGTGCACATTTCTCTCCAAAAAATTAAAAAGACAAGTTTATTTTAAATATAAGATTACATTACAACAATTCTCCGTCTCTAATTTATCTATGTCATTGTAATCCCCTGACAATAAATAAGTAGAACATGCTTTGGTTTTAAGAGGAAAACAACTTTTTAATTTTTAAAAGAATTTTATTTTAGATTGGTGGTTTATCGCCCAAATCAACACAATCATATAATCATTAATTTGGTCGCTTTTAAGGACAAGCGGGCTAACCCAGAATTCGGGGGTCTCCAGAAATCTTGACCTACACCAAAAGTGGGCATTGCCCTACCTATAGGAGAAGTTTGGCTTCATTGGTGTGTATATTTGTTTGGTCATCTAGAAAATTCTCCTGGTCTTTTAAAGAAACTGAACAAGGGGCAAAAACTTTACCTTCGATTTTCTCAAAACAGTATTTTTCGGGATAGCCCCCTTGTGCTTAAAAGCGACCAGTTTATGAGGAGGGCTTCCGACCCTGCCTGTCAGGGGCAATCTGTACTGAGAGGGATACAACAACCTAACAGTAAGAGAGACAGAGATACTCGATGAGAAATTCTCCCTTTTCGGTAATGGAACTTGAGTCTCCTGCGCATGATGGCGAAGCGCTTTGTCACTGCATCAAAGTATAATAATTATTATACATGTATAATATTGTTATGTGTATAATCCCCCTACTCTCGGCCGAACTCTCTATTTTATCGAGTATCTCGGATTGTTCTGCTCGGCTGTTGTATCCCTCTTAGCGCGGGTTCGCTCCAACAAGCAGTCTGAATCCGGCCTCCTGAATAATCCAAAATGTGTCGATGGGGGCGCAAAAACACCAACATTTAGTTTAGTTTCAGTAAGTGTTTTATGGCACTTGCAACACAATTAGGTCATATAGAATCTAAGTGCCGAAGATCAAAGATGTAACAAAAGAGTTTGTTTGTTTGTTGGTTTGTTTTACCCGCCGCTTATACCCTTTTGGGTGTCGCGGGAAGAAAGAGACGTCTCTCTGTCGCCAGCCGGAGAGCTTTGGTCAGGGGGATGCCGTTGGTGTTTAATGTTTCCCGAACTCCATCTATCCAGGTCTTTCTCGGTCGCCCTCTAGTCTTGTTGCCATCGAATTTTTGGAGGTAGGCACAATAGAGTATATAAACAAACACAAAAAGAAGGAGGGGAGATAAGGAGGATAGAATGGATGTTCGATAGGAAAGAAAAAGCAAACCACACCAGAACACCCGCCTACATTTGAAAAAAAAATTCGGCCAAATCGAGTAAGCAGTAAGCCAACAAGCCTCCTATGTACCTCCCTCGGATATATTGTCTGGTTTCGATCCGAATTCGCCAGGCCTTTTATCAGAGTGGCCTGCGCATGAGAAGAGAAGCGCAAGTCCTTGTTCCCTTCTCCAGTCTCTGTTGTTCATTCAGGGGGTGCCAGCAGCTAGCAGAAGGGGAAACTCATTAATTCAAGAGGTTGTGTGTGTGTGTGTGTGTGTGTAAGAGAGAGAGAGAGAGAGAGAGAGAAAGAGAGAGAGAGAGAGAGAGAGAGAGAGAGAGAGAGAGAGAGAGAGAGAGGGAGAGAGAAAGAGAGAGAGAGAGAGGGAGAGGGAGAGAAAGAAAGAGAGAGTAAGAGAGAGAGAGTGAGTGCGTGTATGTGCCAGTATCCGGACAATGAAACCCATGGCATCATTCGCCCCGTTGTTGCTTATAGTGTTGACTGAACTTTGCCCAAGGGGGAAAAAAAGCAGATTTAATGCACTTTTGCTGTCTATAAAACTTTTTCAAGAGATGAGAGGATGAGGGCATTGATCTTAGTCCATCCTTTCGGATACACTTATTGCTTTTGTCTGAAGTCCAAACTTTTCAACCAGTTTATAGCTTCAGTCTCAAGTCCAGACTATAAAAAACCTCCAAAATAAGTTGATCTTAATGGTCTGACTCGCGTTTCTTTTTATCAGACTCCAGACCAAAGCAACATGCTGGTTCTCTGCCGGACCCAATCAATACTTATGAAGAAAACACTTAATGCATTGTCAATAATCCAAGAATATAGTCACAAAAAAATGTAAAATAAAAATGATAAGGCCATAGCACTTAAAATTGAAATGTTTATTGAATCAGTCAATAACATCTGCAGTGAACTGGACGGGAACTACTGATAAAATGAATAAATATCACAGAATAGTAGGCTGGAGATAAATGTTACACCACGTTATACCGCAACACTGGGAGCCACAAAGGTTCCCACAGCGACAGCGACTTGGTGGGATATTGGACGGGAGGAGACTGTCCCATAAATAAAGTTCAATGGAGTCTGCTTAAACCGAAATCTATGGGACCACCGGATTTTCTTTGGGTTTAGCTAGGTTTTTAGTATAGGGAAGTAGCTCAAATTAGAGGGGAAAAGGAAGGAATTTTTTATTTTTTATTTCGGTTGACTGCTGTTTTGGACCTTACCATGTTCGATTTAAGCAGACTCCACTGTGGATCATTCTTTTAGTAATCTAAAGAATGAATTTTAAACTTTTATAATGAACAGTAAATTACATAATGAAGAACAGACAGTTATACCAACAGAGACAACTTCTTATATATTTATATACATGCCGTACAAACTTTCCAGTTTCTCAAAAAGTATTCACAGTAATACACAACACACAACACAAACCTGGCTTGCAGTAGCATAGCTGCCAACTTTTCAAAACCAACAAAAACCCCACTCTGCCCATGCGGTGGGTCAAGATGTGCACCCTGGACATGTGACCACCCCTTCAAACACTTCACACACAAACTTTTCTGCATTCATTAAATTCAAGCTATTGAAAGCAGACCTGCAACAATAATGTGAGAAATGTTTAAAGTACAGATCTCTCCTCCTCTTGACTTATGAATTTCTTCTTCATTATTATCAATCCAGTCTTGAAAGGTTTTTCATGATTTTTCTTCAGCATCAGCAAGTCCATGAGGATCAATATTAGAGAACAGAGAATATGTATTTTCCTGCACGAAAACAGACTTCTTTTCTCAGGCCCTCAAAAGCATGTTAAATATGTCTTTTTACGTATTTTTCGGCAGCTATGTAGCAGGTATAATTCAGGGCTACATATGGATATGGATGATGTTGTGCCAAATTCCAAATCAAGTACTCTTGATTCTTGAGCTTTGACTTTTGAAAAGCCCACAAGGCTCAGTCTGATCAGAAATGGACACAAAATAAATTGGATCTGCTCTGTGTTTGTCGAAATGAGTGTAAAAACACTTACAGCTTCGTGCACACCAACTTGAAATTTCAACAATCAGTTACCAGTGTTACATGTCTCTCTAGATGACAAACACACAAAGATATTTATGCCAGCCTGGTGTATACACAAACACAGGTTGTCACTCAGGCACATTATTTATCATACACAGTAGCAAGCAGCATTAGAAAACTGATTTGAGGAATGTACTATTTTACTTTCCTCACACAAATATACTTAGTTATTTTAGAATATGTACATCTCTTTCACTCAGTCGAGCAAATGAGATTTCAATGTGGCAATCTTGGAGCAAAATGGGTATTTTTCCTACAGACTAAAAATACAAATCCATACCCCCCAAAAAAACCAACAAAAAAAAACATTCAAGATTTCTTTTTTAAAGTGAAATCCTCTAAATAAATGAAATCTCGTATGAATTATAATCTATTTCAAGAGGATAAAGAACTAAAATAAGTTCACTATGTCAAGTTTTCATTATTTGCAATTATATAATAATACATTTTAATATACAGTGCGGGACCATCGGATTTTCTTCAGTTTAGCTTTGTTTCCCGCTCAGAGAGGTTGCCCAAATGAAAAGGGAAAAATAATCAAGGATCTTATTTCCTTTCAGCTTACTGCTGTTTTCAGATTAATCCTATTATGTTTAAGCAGACTCCATTGTCAATGACTATCCTGGAAGACACATGAAAGTGGCCCCCTGGGATGAACCCTATGACCATAGACAGCTTTATCTCATTTCCGAGTAAGGCATTTCACACTACCTCTTCTTCTGCTAGTCACGGGACTAAAAAAAGAGGTGAACTGTTTTGGAAAAGGAAGTAGATGTGCCAGGCATTTGTTTTTTTTACAATGGAATGAGTCCAGTATTAACATTTTGCGAACGACTTGAACTAACAAATTTCTTAGATAATTGCCAATTCAAGTGCGTATTAATAGAATCTGGTACAATATATACATATATATATATACATATATATATATATATATATATATATATATATAATGTTACAAAACCTGAGACATCAACTCATGACTTACGGAGGGACGGAATGTAGACAAAAAGAAAATGAAAATATTAACAGTGAGGGGCTTGTCAGTCCAGAGGTTACATGCTTACCACTCAACTGAACTGACAGTTTGGCACTTGAAAGTCTGAAATGAGCAGGCCTTTTAGTTTTTGTAAAAGTTTTAAAGCACTTGCAATACAATAAGGTCATATAAGTGCTGAAGATTAGAAATGTTACAAGAGAGCAACAAACACATAAAAACAGGAGGAGAGATTTAATAAAGACAATAGATATTTGATAGAAAAGAAGGAACAAACCACACCAGAGCACCGGTCAACTAGTCATAGAGCAGGCCTGCCCCGGTTGGCTGCCTCAGTTAAATTCTAAATTAAGTAGATCATTAACATAAAGAGAACAATAACAAATAATAATAACAAACAGATATACAGAGACCATCTAGTAGTGTCAGTCAAAGCCAGGGATGTCTATAGACACTCCAAACTGCCGAGCCACTTGCTTGAGCTTCTCCTCCAACAAAACATTTCTCTGAACGCTCTGCTTGTAGTTGTACTTCAAGTCTTCGATTTCGTCGAAAAATTCAGGACCAAAGTTGCCCAGTTCTTTTTTCAGCTGCAACAAAGAAAAAAAAATAACAATTGTTATAAAATGCAATTTGTCAACAAGCTGTTTAAATGTTCTAGGCCCAAAAAACAAAGCTTTTCAGCAGAGAAAAAAACAACTGTTTCATTCTTTTATTAACAATTGTACCTACAGTATGTATCTTTTCTAGTTTCTTTTCAACCTTCAAAATTGGAATTTTGACAAACTATTTCTTGAGCACATGCAACCGATAACACAGATTAACTTAAGGTAATTTCATTCTTTTAAATTCACTAATTTGGGCTTATTACATTTGCTCTACAGACTTGCAGAAAAAGCACGAACCTTTTCTACTTCTCGTTTGTACTTTTCTTTCTCCAATTCCATTGCTTTCAGGTCCATGCGCACTTCAATGTTTTCTCGGGTGATGCGGTCATAACCACTGGCCTTGCTGACCACGTCTTCCGTCACCTGGGAGAGAAAAAACATTTGTGCAAACAACTTATGAAGACTACAGTGGATAAACCCACAATTTTATTAAAAAAGAATAATATTCCTTTGTTGTGTTCCTTAAAATTCGTACTTCCTTCGTCGCAAATGATCCTATAGATAACCCAGCTAAGTCCTGTGTTGTGTAAAGTCAAAGAAATGCTATACTCACAATGAGATGGACTTTCAAACTTTGAACTTTCACTTTCTCCACTTTCCTGGGTTGGTGGGGTGGAGGTGAGTTGGGGAGAAGGAGGAGAGGGGGGGTTAAGATTATGTTTGAAGTTTACAGCCTCCCTTACCTTTGAAAACTCAGTTAACAGCAACCTCCGCTTAGCAACAACAAGTGCTTGTTTTCCAAAGGGGTCGCTATCAGGCAGACATCACAGTGCCACATTTGGGTAGGCAAAATTAACTTACCTGAGTTGGGTCTGAGGCAGCGGCTGATGACTGTTGTTGTCTTGCCAGCCTGAGTTCATTCAGAAGCTCCTTCTTCTCATTCTCCAGCCTCTCAACACGTACTCTGTGTAGAAGAAACATACAGGAAAAAATAAAGAAACTTCTCTTTACAAAGATGCCAACGGTAATTTGTGAAATTTACTGAAAACATAAAAAGCTGCATTTGCAAACCAAAAGACAGTCATTACATACAACTAATAGATGGAAAGTATCTCTAGAAAAGCACTAAAATGGAATACCATGGATCAGTTTAGTGTTAGTAAGTGTATTACGGCACTTGCAACACAATAAGGTCATATAAGCGCCGAAGATTAGTGGTGTTACAAGAGAGTTAACAAACACAAAAAAGAAGGAGGAGAGATAAGGACGATAGATGTTTGATAGGAAAGAAGAAGCAAACCACACCAGAGCACCAACCAACCACTCACCCATGAGGTCAGAAGTACAGAAAAAGTAAAAAACAACAAGGCAGAGAAAGGTGGAGACAGACCCACAAAACTGGAACAATATGCACAGGGCGCCGACACTTTTATTAGAGGGGAAATTGTTGAAGACCCAAGTGCTTTAGGGAGGAAGGGAGGGAGAAAGACACAGAGAAACAGAGAATAAGGGGAAGAGATAAAGAGAAAGAGAGAGAGAGAGAGAGAGAGAGAGAGAGACAAGAGATAAAGCGAGAGAAATCTTTAACTTGGCGGTGGGGGGAGACATACAGTGTACTCTGAAAATTGATCTCTGCACACAATTAAGTCCCTGTTCCACACATTACAGAAAAAAAAATGTAACCTCCGAAAACAATTTTTGTTTTAATCTCGATGTTTAACCGACAAATAAAGTTTATTAACGTTATAACAAAGGGAAGTAAGCTGGAAATGTCGTGACAAAGATTGTGAGAGTATATAAAAATCACTATAAAAATACTCCACCTGATTTGCTGATAATCTTTGGTGAGATTACTGTCCAGGGCCCCGCTACCAGCTGGGAATCTTTCCAAAATTGAAACCTGAAAAGAGATTGAAACTTCAGAATAACACACATCTTCATAGTGGTGACCTGTAAAGATAGCCACTATTCCTCCGATGCCCTTGAGTTTTTCTTGTATCTGTTACCTATCTATAGTGGTTCCTGTCTAATGCAGCCACGATCAGTCATTTTTTGTGATTAGTTCATCCCAAAACCTGGTGAAAATTAGTTCTGTAAACCCATCCTCGGACTGAGTGTGTTTGTTCAATCAATGCACAAAACTCTTATATAGAAGATTATAATTTTGAAGAAAGTTAAATGGAAAATTTTTTTTTTAATCAAAATTTTAGACTGAACCATTTGTTGACTTCGTCAAGTCTGGTAATTGACCATGTCTCAGACCACGTCCATAGTGACCACCTGTCTATACTGGTCACTTTTCACTGGGACCTAAAGTGACCGCTATGGACAGGTTCGACTGTGTCTCCATCTGCCTACTGGGTTATTGAAATAAATTAAACCTTTTAAACCAGCGTCTATCTTGTAGCAGTTACGCATTATGCCGTTTAAACCGAGTTTGATTCCCATATAGAGAGAGATTTTTATTACCCGGGTCTTTCTAATCTGATGATGTATCCCTCTCAGCCCGGGTTAGCCCTGACAGGCAGGGTTGGAAGCCCACTTCCTAATTGATCTAAATTGATTCAATGGGGGTATAAAAACATATCTACATTTTTTTAAAACCCATTAAAAAACCTTTTATAGAAATTCATCTTTCTTCTTTCTCTAAATGATACATATTGTGTAGATGGAGACATAAAAAAACAACCAGGTCTACATTTTACATAACCTTTTGTAGAAGCTCATCTTTCTCCTTTCTCTAAATGATCAAAATTGTGTCAAAATGACGACATTAAAAAGAAACCTTTTGCAGAAGCTCATCCTTCTCCTGGATCAAGGCCTGTTCTCTCTCCGCAGCATCTCTGAGCAGCACTTTGGTGTCCTGCAGCTGTTTGCTCTGTGGATAATCCAAGCAATTAATATTAATAATAACAATAACATTTAATAATAATAATAATGATACTACTACTACTACTAATGATTATGATGATGATGATGATGATAATAATAATACTAATGATGATAACACTCTAAGGGCATCACTGAAAAAGGTCACACTTCTTTACTTTCTTTTTATTGCATTAGTGTACCAGTCCTTTTTGTTTTCTTGAAGTAAATATGCTCTTCTTTTTCCCATAACAATCTTCTTCTTTTTCCTTTTTCTTCTTTTCACTTCAATCTTCTTCTGCTTCTTCTTTATCATTATAATTTTCTTCTCCATCTTCATCATTACATACAATTCTCTTCTTCTTTTTCAGTAAAATATTTTTCTTCTTCTATTTCCAATTCATTCTTCTTATCCTTCTTCTTCGTCTAAATCCTCACTTTCTTCTCCAAGTCCGACTCCATGCTGCGAATCTTCTCCTCGTACATCCTCGTCTGCACCGCTGACTTCCAGCCCTGCGAATCCATGGCGGCGATGCTGGGCTTTTTGGCCGCCTCCACCTCGAGCCGAGACCTGGTGTCCCTCAGCTCCTTGTCCTGGTGCTCTCCCTGCACCTCCAGCGAGCGATACTTCACCCTCAGCCGCTCGTTCTCCTCCCTCTCCTGTGGGATGTAATGATAATAATAATAATAATAATAATAATAATAATAATAATAATAAAAATAATAATTATTGTAGTAGTTAAAAAGGGGGAGGAGGAGGGGGGGGGAGGGGGAGGGGGAGGGGGAGGGGGAGGGGGGGAGGAGGGGGGAGGAGGAGGAGGAGGAAGAAGAGGAGGAGGAGGAAGAAGAAGAAGAAGAGGAAGAGGAAGCGACAGAAGAAGAAGAAATCGCAAATCTAAATTTTCTGGGAAGCAAAAAGACAGAAGGACAGAGAGAGAGAGAGAGAGAGAGAGAGAGAGAGAGAGAGAGAGAGAGAGAGAGAGAGAGAGAGAGAGAGAGAGAGAGAGAGAGAGAGAGAGAGAGAGAGAGAGAGAGAGAGAGAGAGTGAGATACAGACTGAGAGGGAGAGAGAAAGAGAGAGAAAGAGAGAGAGAGAGATAGAGAGAGAGATAGAGAGTGTGTGTGTGAGAGAGATACTGGCTTCGAGGGAGAGGGATAGAGACACTAGAAAGGGATATTGATTAGCTCATAAGATGCTCTATGTGCCATTTTTGTGTAGCACAAGGTGGTGGAAGAACACCCTAAAACTCTTGCCATCTATCTCTGTATATGGCTGATGTCCAACTCTTGCCCATGTATCTACTCAATTCGGTCAAAGATTTCTTTTGTCAGAAATTATGTTTTTCAGAACGTAATTACAATTGGTGATGCTATAATAAACAAATGAAAGAGAAAACACTCACACAAAATTCTGAGTGAATATTGAAGACAACACGAATGAAATTTCTTAGTCCTTCCAAGATAAAGTGTTTGACCTTATTTGGTGAATACACACAGAATCAAACATTAACGATATACAGTCAACTCCGCTTGTGTTGAACTCGCTAGAATTAATCTTTGGTTAATGACAATGACAATGACAATCTTTATTCATCTCGCAGGGAGAAATTTGTCTTGGTCGTTAACAATGGCAGTTGACGTTACAAAAGTTAGACTTAAAGGAGCACTCACGCAAACGCACAACAAGACAGGACATTATGCCAAGTAAATACATGTCTCACGGGCTGGGACAACCCGTTCCGTAACACATTCATTCTCTCTCTCTCTCTCTCTCTCTCTCTCTCTCTCTCTCTCTCTCTCTCTCTCCCTCTCTCTCTCTCTCTGTTTCATTTGTAGCACTGTGTGTTCAGTAACCTCACTGCAGTTGATACCAATGAATTTCTATATTTGTCTGTTCTTGCTTTTTTGGAAATGTATCGTTTACTGCTGGTCGATAGTTGAAATTCCAATGTCAGTGGGTGGCTATGGTCACTAAGCATTATTTCCGCCTTTTTTAGAACGTTTGTCTTGTGCAGATATTCAAAGTTACTTAGGTCTCTACCAATTGTTCTTGATGCCTTTTTTATTAACTTATTTAGTTTTATAATGTGCTGCCTTCCCAGATTGCTACCATAGCAAGTGATTCCAAAATTTATCAAAGTTTCTATTGTGGTGGTGTAGAAAATCTGAAGGATGGATGGATTCAGATTGAAAGACTTTAGTTTACTCAGAAAGTACAGCCTCTGATTTACCTTTTTAACGATATTGTTTACGTGGTTTTGCCATGTAAATTTGTTGTCTATTGTAAGGCCAAGATATTTGTATGAATCCGTGATTTCAATAGTTTCTTGTTCAATTACGAGTGGTGGGATTGTTGGTTTTTCTCTTCTAAAATCAAAAATCATTTCCTTTGTTTTTGAGAGGTTCAAAATTTGAGTTGCACCATTTAAAAAACCTACATATTTCATCTAAATACTCTTTTTCATCAAGGTTTATTAATCCAATAATAGCGGAGTCATCTGCAAACTTAATTGAGCGTGTTGTTTTATAAATACTTCTATGATCGTTGGTATATATAGTATACAAAACTGGTGACAAAACACACCCCTGAGGACCGCCGGTGTTACAAAGAATTGTGTCAGATTTTGTGTTGTAGACCTTTCTCTCGAGTCCCAGCATTCCTTCTTTACAAGTCCCAATAGTAGTCGACTGTACAAACATGCATTTGCCAGCTCCCCTTCCTTCCTGAGTTTTTCAAAGTCCTGCATTATCTTGACTGTTTTTCAGACTTGTTACAATTGGTGATATTATAATACACAAACAACTAGCAAAAAATACCCTCTGCACAATTTTTTTTGAAAATCTGGAAGATAATACGAAAGAAGTAACGTTTTTTGGGGGTTTCAAAAAATTGTTTTGCCTGATTTGATGGAAACACAGTTAGAATCAGACGAAAAATATACACATGCCTTGGCCAGCTCCTTCCTGAGCTTTTCAAAGTCCGTCATCATCTTGGCCGTGCCCTTCTGCTGGGCTGTGTACCTCTCACTCAGCTCCAGACCCATGCTCTGCCTCATCTCCTCCATCTGACCCTGGTCAAGTAAACAAACAAACAAACAAAAAAGGTTTTTAAAAATAATTCTCATCCTCCTTCATATGACTCTGATCAAACAAACAGTTAAAACGGTTCTCATGTTCTCCTTTTCATCCTCCAAGTGCCAGATCTGAAACAGATAGTAACTCTCCAAATGTCACTAACAACAAATAGCGTTTGCTGTCAGGGGTATTTATATGATTTCATTGTATTATGTTGGAAAATGCAGAGTCAAAGCCCGCCCCTTAAATAATCTAAATTGTGGAGACATGTTCAGGCTCCCAGCGGCTCGCGGTCAGAACCGCTGTGCCGGTAAGCCGGCTCCGGCACATTCCTTTTCGACAACTATAAACACTAAATTACATTTTGGCAATTACCAAAAACAGGCCTCTTTTACCAGGAGTTCACTCATTAGATGAACTATAAAAAAAAAGGTTCACTTGTTTTGACTTAATGCCTAATTTAATTATGTACCAAAAGAGGGCCCTCACAAAGTGGGTTTGCCCCCCTCGGACATAAAGTGTTTAAAAAAACTCTCACCTTGAGTCCCTCGTTCTCCCTCTTCAAGAGAGACACTTGCTCCTGGCTCACCACGCCCGGCGCCTTCTTCAGAGCACCGTTCTCCGCCTGCAGACGCTCCACCACTTTCTTCAGCAGCGCGATCGTCTTCTCCAGCTCCCTCTGGCTTTTGCCGCTCTCACCGATCTAAGGAGGGGGGAAAAATAAATTCATTTGGGACATTCCATTTTTCTAAGTCTTGAAGTATCGGTATCTATGGTGTAGCTGTTAGGTCTTTCACTGTCTATTCGAAGACCTGAGTTCAATTTCGAGTGTGAGGATACATTTGTATTGATTACCTCAGTTTTTCTGCTGGGACGTTGCATTCCTTTCAGGCCTGGTTAGCCCAGACAGGCATAGCTGAAACCTGTCTACTAAATGATCTAAGTTGTTTGTATGTGGAAGGAACGAGGGGGGTGGGGGGTGGGGAGGGGATATTAAAAATGAACGCTTACATTTAAAAAAACCAAAAAAAACTCTGTTTTCACCTAACCACCTCTCCCTTTCTGTCCATGACATTCTGTGGTAAACAAATTTGCAGCCTTTTGTGAAACATAACATTCCGACTGGTACAAACTTTGAAAGCCTGACTTTTCTTCACTGTCATCCATGTTTCTTTAAAAAAGATGCTGTTTTCCTAGGTAAAAAGTATCAGTTGCTTAAAAACACTGTTAAAAAAAAATAATCTCAACAGAAATTACAAGAAAAATAATGCAAGGAAAATTTTAGCCAGCAGCAAAGCTGCAATAGAACATAGTATAGTTTTTGTAAGAATTTTATAGCATTTGCAAAACAATTAGGTCACATAGAGCCACAGGTTAAAGTTGTTACTCGAGAGTAACATACAAATAAAAGGAGGAAAGATAATGATGATAGATATTTGATAAGAAAGAAGAAGCAAACCCCACCAGAGCACCCATCAACCAACTCTTACCCTTTTGATGCTGGATAGACTAGATCTAGCAGAGTCACCGGTCAGTTGGCCATTCTCAAACTTCAGAGCTTCCACATACCTCTGCAAATCCTCAATTCGCTCCTGGAAAAAAAAAAGAAAAAGAAAATGTAAACGTTTTCACACCCTTATCAACACAATTTAGGAGGCATGCTTTGACCATGCCTGTCAGAGCCAAACCACGCTAAAAAGGACATAACATCCCAGCAGAAAGACAGAGATATCCGATAAAAACTTTTGCTACTCAAGAATCAAACTCGGGTATCCTGCGTGCAATGACAAAGCCCCAACCACTACACCAGACACCAGTAAAGGCAAATTTTAAAACATGGCACATACTACATTCACATAATATTATAACAAGGAAACATATTTCACAAAGTGCCTATTGGAGGCTGTGGTGTACTGATCTGGTTCTCCAACATTGCACGCACTGGAGTTTCATCCCCAAGTCGGGAAGTTGTTTTATCAAATACCTTCTTATGTCTGCTGGACTGTATCCCACACAAACTGGGTTGATCTGGATAGTCAGCTTCTTAAATTATCTAAATCAGGACTCTTAACACTTTGCCATCATATTTTGGAGAAAATCCAAAGGAAATGGGTGGTAAACATCGCCAATCGGCGAGATGGGGTGCCAAAGTGTTAAACTTGCGGTCCACAGACCAATCGAGGCCTAAAGGAAGATATTTTGCTGCCCCAACTTGACATCAATATTTAGTGATGGTGCACCCCTCCATCAAGCCAAATGTGGATGAGTTATGTAAGAGGACGAGCTGTTGGGCCTCTGGCGGCAAGGAATAGATCAGAGAAACTTATGTTCAAAGAACTGCTCATGTCTCTAACTACTACTTATAAAGCTTTAAAATTTTTTAAAAATGTGTCATGACCTGGTGGAGTCAGGCGCTCGCCAATTTTTGGGCATGTGGAGTTATTGGTATCTGTTTAAAGCTTGTTCATTTGTCTTGCTTTCGATTAAATAAATATCCATTTATCTTGGATACAAATCAAGATATTGGCCATTGAAGGAGGTGGGGTCACCTGGTTTCAGAGGTAAAATAAGCCAGAAAATGGCCACCTAAGTTTTGTTTTTTCATTAATTTGAGAGTCTTTGGCATCCGAAGATGAATTCACTCAGAAATGTGTTCTTTAATAAATTGAGTCAATGTGGGTGAAAAGTATCTACAATCATTTATGATTAATCAATAAAGTGACTACAAGTCTGAAGTGCCATACCTTCAGCCTGGGAATGTCCTTACGGGATCCTTCCACTTCAAACCTCAACTCCAGGTTCTCCTCTGATAACCTCATGACTTCTCTTTGAAGATCTTGATTTTTGCCGAAAAGCTGCTGGTACTCTGCAGCCCCCACACCGGCATCCTGCAAGCAAAGAAATTGTTTTAATGTGCCACACTTTAAGTTGCTAAAGAGACAGGATCTCTGGATTTAATGTCCATATCTGATAGGGTCAATTATTATTATTATAACGTAAGACTTTTGAAAGGGTATAAAAGCCAAACAATGACCAACTATTGATGCAGTCGTCTTTCATTTTTATTATTTGATAAAAAATTTTTAAGGTACTGGCAACACAATTAGTTCATATAAGTGCTGAACAAGAGTGACAAACACAAAAAAGAAGGAGAGATGAGGACGACAGATCTTTGATAGGAAAGAAGGACGCAGTTTAAGGCACTTACCTGTGGTTTGGCTGCCAGCGCTCGCTCCATATGCTCCAGCTGTTCTCTCAGGTGCTGGTTCCTCATCTGCACCTCCTTGAAGGCCGCGTCCTCGCTCATCATGGCCTTACGTTTCAAGGCATTTATCTGCATTTCAGGAAGACAGGCGTACAATTTTAAATAAATAATTAGTATCAGTTTGATTCTGGTAAGAGTGTTACAACACCTGCAACAAAACTAGGTCATGTAACACGGCGCACAGAAACAGGATACTTTAGTTGAGAATCAGGTAGCTAGTGCTGCGCTGACCTTTGACGGTGAGCGTGGTCATCGCTTGGGCATTCTTCGGTCAGCATGACCGCGCGGGAGGTTTAGAAAATCGTATTTTTCATCCTGAATTGAGCGCTAATTAACGCAATAATATTGACTGAAAGACATCACTGCATGAGGGAATCAGAAGTTCCAAGCCTTGCCCATGATATTTCAATAACAAAGTGAATCAGTATTGGTCGGTTTAGTTGTAAGAGAAAGTGCAAGATAGTCATGTCTGATTCCCGTTAGCGTTTCCAGTTATGACGTAATGAGCGCCGATAATTAGAAAACTGAGCATCAGGATTAGTTCATCTTTGAGGGACACAAACGTAATACTTAAGGGTATCTTCTCACCAAATTTCACTGCTACCGCAAGTTTCCGTAACCTCAAAATGGTTGATCTATGCATCACTTTGCCGTAAATATCCACACATTTCCCTCGCTTAACTTCACACGAATTATTGAGTAGGCTCTATAGGTTTTATTATTATATGTACACATATGTCCTAAATCATTGTGTCTGCATGTTGTACATCTACGAGTTGGTCACTGACTGGGACAACAGACTGAGGGTTGGTGTGGCAATTCTGACTTGTACTGTGTGTGGGTCGTTTTTTTGTGTGTTGAGTGTGCTGAGAGCACGGGTACATGTACTCTGTGTGGTTGTGTCTGTCTCAGAAATGTTGGTGCTAGGACTAGCTTGGTTTGAGTATGTTTTTTGACTGCTGTAGTGAGACTGGGGGTCACATTGCTTTACTGCGGCACAGCCAAGAGAGAGCAGTTTTTTCTGTTCACAGACTGTGCATGTTTTCGCATCACAGTCTTCAATGTAAACACATCAAATGTTTGTAGGGACACTGCACTATTTCGAAGTTTAGCTTCATAGATCGTTTTTTAACATTTCAAACACATAAATTTGGAGTGTTTGTCACTAGTGTCATCTTTGATATTCCACCCAAAAACAAGGAAGAGATTACTGGCTATTTCCGAACATAAACACGCCTTTTAAAGGATTTAATTTTTCTCTGCTTCCCTGTAATGTTCAGTCTTCCGCACACTCTAAACAGACTGCTTAAAGCGGATACATGACTTTTAGGGTTGTGCTCCATTTTAAGGTCTTCGTTGTATACGGCAATAACGTTAGTAAATTCGCGGGCCCAACACATTAATCCGATGTAACTGAACAACCACAACTGCGGTAGTACTGAAATTTACACACTTAAAACAGGATTTGTTACTGAACACGCACATACTAATCCCAAAAAAATTCAATGCACCGTTTTGTCGCAACAAATGATTATTTATTCTCAGTTCGAAATGAGAAAAGCGTGTTACACAGGCAGCAAACAGACACGTGGGGAACACCTGGTATAAAACGGAGAAGACTGGGACTTTCTTTAGGAGGAGGAGAAATGGTGCTGCTAAAGTCTATAAAAATAAAACTACTTGGTCGGTCTAACGGCACCACTGTAATTGAGGTAGTAAATGAGACAATTTTATCAAGAACACATCCCAGTTTATAACGGTGCGATGAGGTCAAAAGACCCAAATAAAAAAGGTCAACAGGTACCGGGCGGGGTGATTAATTACCTCCGGACAGCGGGAGCTGCGGTGCAACTAAAAGGCGCAATTTCGGCTGATTTCGTGCGCCGTGGTAAGTGCTGAAGATTAGATGTGTTACTAGAGAGTAACATTAACAGAAAAAAATAAGAGACATACGGATGACAGATGTTCGATAGGAAAGAAGGAGCAAACCCCACCTGAGCAACAGCTTACCACCCATTACAATTACTATCAAAGGGTTCAACCAGTAAAAAATGACAAATAAAACTTTATATCCCGATCAGCAAGCAAAAGGTCAGCAAGTTCAGATGTTTCTTAAATTTTTTTGTCAAATGTAAAAATTGTTCAGCTCATTTTAAATCAGGTGCATTAAAACAAAAACAATTTACCACGGCTTAAATTAATATATTTCAATTTGAAATTCAAATCGAAACAAAGATATACTCGACAAAAACATGAGAGCAACAAAAAATGATAAATATAATGTAGTTTCCGCACTTCAAACTCACATCACATTCCCACAATATGACAATGCTATTTATTACACTGACAATGCCATCAGGCTCATTCCACAATCACCCACAATCAAATTCTGGGTTTTTTAGATAAAGCTGATCATCAAATAAAGATATCAAGTGGAATCTTATAATAAAGTTTCATTCTGTTTCAACATTCCTTCCAAGTTTTTAACTGAACAACTAAGAGTACCCAAGTCGTGGTTTTGATTTCAGTGTTCTTGTTTTCTGAAAATGTTCTCAAAACTTCAAAGAATGACTTTGGCCCTGGTGGAATGATACTGACAAAATGATAATTATTTCGAAAGTTAATCAAAGAGCACCTCCTCTTGCTGCTTGTAAATCGTTTCCCTGAGGTCGGCCTTCTCATGGTCGGGTCGTCCACTAGGGGGCGCTGCACTCACTGGAACAGCAGACGACTTCTGTATCGGACGTGTGTCCCTGCTAGTCCTGAAATAAATAGAAGTTTCATATTAGAAAAACAAAATTCATTAAAAGAAATTCACTTTATTGATTCCCTCAGGAAATTCATTTTACAATGGTGAACACAAATAAAATTAATATATAAATGCAAGAATAAATAAGCCTGCACTGCACAACATCACAAACACAATCCACACACTATTGCCAGCTGCCACTGTGCAGTGCCCTGTTTTTGAGCTACGGTTATCAGCCAGTGCTCCAGGACACACCCCAGTGACCACCCAACTAAATGTTGTGTCATTCTACAAACACGCTTGGCATTATTGTGAACATGAGCTCACTAATCACTCAGCAACAGGAGTATCATGTTGCTCAAGCTTCTATTTTAACTGTAGCTGACTGAGAAGTGAGAGGGAGACCCGATTGGTGCAGCTGGCCACTGCAGTCCGACTGATTTGAACTTTTAAGTTCTTTTTTGTTTTTCAAGTGCATAAACACAAAAGCATAATAAAAGACATGGAAGAAAAAGAAATTAAGACATTAAAAAAAATAGGCTAGTAGTAATAATAATAATAATCATAATAATAATAAAACTGATACTTTTATTATCCTTATCATCATCATCATCATGATCAATAAAAATAATTATTATTACTATCACATTATTATAACTATTATTATTATTATTATTATTACTATCATTATTTTTTTCATATTAATGTTATTTTTCATATTATTACTATTATTATTTTTCAAAAAAATATTATTATTATTATTATTATTATTATTATTATTATTATTAATATTATTATTATTACTAGATCTAGATTCTAGATCTAGAATCTAGATTATATTATTACCATTATTTATTTTTCTTTTCTTTTTCACCGTATGTACGAATAGGATCAATGCACTACAGAGAGGAACATTTTTAAAGCAAAACAAAAGAAATAGGGACTAAGAACTGCTATGTGCAATGACACCAAAAGACTGCAATACAAAATGAAGTAAGTTCAAGTACCGAGACCGAGGCCAGCCTGAATCGGAGAACCCGCTGAACGAAAGAACAGCAGCAGGGTGAGTTCAGTAAGTAACACAATCACAGTCACAAAATGTTTGCAACTCCTGTCATCTAATCTATGTCATGCACCAAGCACTACAGCATGTAACAATTGTTTCAATCATACAAGTCAGTCTGCACTTCCTATAAAGTCCACCTATCCTATCTTCGCGCAGGGAAAACGAAATCTAGCAGCAAGCCTGTACAAGCGTCCCTGGTGATCAAGGAACTTCCTTTTTTCAAAAGAATAAACAGTGAGAGTGATTTCCCTTCCCTCTCTTTGTAAGGGGAGCAAGTATAATTTATGCTACTGATATATGCGTGACATGAATTACTTCCCTTGAACCGAATTCGCGCGGGGTCTCTCTCTCTCTCTCTCTCTCTCTCTCCCCCCCCCTCTCTCTCTCTGTGTCTCTCTCTCTCTCTCACACACGCACCTGCAGTTTTTTTCTTTCTTTTTTTTTATAACCCAGACCTCTGCCGTCGTAACGGAAAACGACGAATGGTCCAGCGCAGGTAGCGAGGCAAATTTTTCAGGAGAGGCAAAACCTGTTTTCACTTTATAACTCCTCTATTTTTCAATCTTTTAAGCTGTAATTCACCAGATATCTGATTGAGGTGTTCATAAAGCAGTTTCTAAAGTTTGAATGGTTTAGGTTAAAAAGCAGCAAAGTTATTCGACATTCGTCGTTCTCCCTTACATTGCGCTCCCGCAGGTGAACCTTGCGATATACGCGAAAACGACGAATGGTACGGTTTCTCGCTCTCCCTTACACTCATGAACGTTTATGGGCGTAGGCGATGGTTAGTTGTGACGCATTATTGACAGTAATGACTGTGTACTGGTTACTACAAATAAAAATAAGACGTATACAAACTAGCTATTATACGTATAAAGTTAGGTGTTTGTTATATCCCAACTGTAACTCGGTAAACGTCCTTCGTTTCCCTTTCTCGCTTGGTTAAATACTACACAGTCAGAGTACAAATCAGAAGTGCACACATTTTCAACAGCTTGATTAAAAACTGTCTCATTCGGAACCAAAATTTGGTCTACATGATATCTCTTTATTGTATTCTCTTCAGAAGCGAGTTTTACTTTAATTTTCGCTCATTGCAAAATTTTCCCTGCACGACCAATTGGATCAATAATGTTACAATGTCAATAATACGATCAGATCATTGCAAAGTCAAACTTTCTCGTAAGAAATGTTACAATCTGACAAGACTGTATCACAAACGCTTTCGGGAGAGGTAATGCGACGCATTGTATTTATTTAAAAAAAGGGGACCCTTAAATAAAGGATTCAGTTGATGGGATCGGAAAAAATACCACAAAGTAGAGATCGACAAGAACAGTTTGAATCTGCTAGACATTATTATACTCGATCGTAACGTAAATCAATCATAAAAAATCGTAAAGTGTAAAGCATGACTAGGTGTTGCCACAATACGTCCACTTTTTAAGTTGGACATAGAAATTTACTCTCATAATGCAGTGTCATTAATTGCTTGGTAATTCTATAATGATGTCGACCAGTGACACGTGCTAGACAAATTGCGGCACTATAACCATCGTTGGGATTTGGGATGTCAAATGACTGGACAGCAAACTAACAACATGACGTTAGTCTGTGAACATCTGGCGTACATTAATATGCAGTGCTAATAAATTTCTCCCTAAATACTTTTTGGACCCTCCCATCCCCACCCCTTTTCCCCTGTTCCCATCCCTTTTCCCCTCTCTCTTGCCTGCTCTTGTCAATTCACACCATCAGCATGCGTGAAGACAGACAGAAAGATACACTAAGTGATACATTCTTATAAACCTGGTCCACGGTACTCCGGGGGAGGGGGTGGTGGTGGTGTGTTTGTTTGCTAACAAGGCCTAGTATGTTTGTACTGATGCAACAGTGACCAATTGTCCTTCATTGCCCAGCGGCAGAGACCAGGGGACAACGCCGAGCGAGCAGTGATCCTTGACCGATCGACCATTCGTCATTCTCCCTTACACTGAGCTCTGGCTCGGAGCTCGCCAGTGTAAGGGAAAACGACGAACTCTCAATTACGCAACAACGGATTAGGACATGACTACAATTTTTACACCATCAGATGCAGAATTAAATACTCTATGAAATATATAAAAATAAAAAAATAGAAAAATTTTGACCATTCGTCGTTTTCCCTTACAACGGCAGACCTCTGTCAAGGGTCAGGCAGCTGCTTTTAGTTTCAGACAGAAAGCCAAAACACAGTCAGAATAGAGATCACAACATGCTGTAGTGTGAATATGTGCTATACAATTTAAAGATATCATTATCATCATTATCATAATCATTATTATTATTATTATAATCATTGTCTCTTCTTCTTCTTCCTCTTCTACCTCGTCTTCTTCTACTTCTTCTTCAGTCTAGAAAGCGCTTAAGCCAGGAGGTATGCTACTAACCTACCCAGTGTTTTAAATTCCAGATATTCAAGCGACTGGTTTAAACTGGGTTTATTTGTTGACTTCATCGACCTGGGACACAAATAGCTCATTCCACAAGCAGTACACTTGACTTGACCATATTATGTTAGAGGAAAGAAAGAGGAAAGAGAAAGGAAAGAAAATACAGCTCAAATAAAACCAATTCAAATATCACAAATGTATAACTGACAATAATAGATGCTGTTTTACTATTAGAAAGGACCTGCTGCATGCATGTGTGATGTTGTATGTATCAGTGATGTAAGGCGGTTGGTGGATCAGTTAGCCTTTTCCACTCTTCAGTCCCCTGACACACACATCTATTGAAACACACCTCTACTCTCAAATATCTATTAAATATCTGCCTCCCTCCACTGCCTTTTCTATTAAATTTAAACTCTTAAGTTTTTTTGACCTGAAATAAGCAGGGCTATCAAATAGCATGATTTGCAATAATTCCAACTTCAATGGGGGTAAAAAAATGAGTTTTTTTTCATGTCACAGTTAATTCAAAATGTAAAAAAAAAAGATTTTCCCGGGCCATCATACACATCCCAGGCCACCAGGGCACCAGTCTGCCCACATGTGTATAACCACTGGGCACATGTACATTCGAAAAAGCTCTAAATGTCAATTGTCCAAGACAGTCACTAGCACAAATGGCCACTTTTCACTTACCTCCTTGTGTTTTTTCTTTAATATAATATAATTAATGTATATATGTATATATATATACATATATATATATATATGTATATATATATATATATATATATATGTATATATATATATATATATATATATATATATATATATATATATATATATAAGGGTCTTGAACATCTGGCTCTAACTGGCAAAATTGAGGGCAAGCGAGGCAGGGGTAGGCCCAGAACAACATACTTAGGGAACCTAAACAAATGGGTAACAGGGAAAGATCAGGGAAACTTAGCTTTTTTGAAAGCATCCAAGCAAAGGAATGAATGGAAAACCATGATTGCCGATGTCTGTCGCAGATCTGGCACTGTGTGAGGCAGCGTGGTGAAATCAGGCACTCGTCAAAATAATGAAACTGAAGAAACTGTGGCATTTTTTCCGCAGGTATGGGAATTTTAACTGAATTTTTTTGGGGGGGCTCATCACCTTTCATGTCCATTAAAGAACACATTTCTGTGGTGAATAGCACTGAAAAATTTTGATTAAAGGCACAAAAGGTGTAAATTTTCTGTTTCCACGGACTCTCAAACTAAGGAAATAATTAAACTTTGCTGGCCATTTTCCACTAATTTTACCTCTGAAACCAGGCGACCCCTACCTCCTTCAATTGTAAATATCTCGACTTGTATTCAAGATAGATGGATATTGTTTTCATCGAAAGAAAGACAAATGAACAACCTTTCAGATGATACCAATAACTTCACATGACCAAAAATTGACAAGTACCTGATTCCACCGTGTCGTGCCAAACATATATATATATTTTATCAGTGCTATACGCTGTTTAATAAACTGTTCAAGACGACATCAACTTGTCTGAGAAAACCAATTTTCTACTCAACAACAGATGGCATCTTGAACAAATTCGACGGCCGATTCAACACTGACTTACCTCTCCAGAGTGGCTTTGAGCCTGTCCACAGTTCGACTCAAGTTCTCAATCTCCGCATCCTTTTCCTTTATTTTTGTTTTCATCTTGTCAATCGTTCTTTGCCATTTCTTGCTTTCCTCCCAACGGATTGTGTCCTCCGTCTGTATTCAAACAAACAGTTAAAAATAAGGATTAAAAGAAAACAAAAAAAACCCCACTCCTACCACAGAGTCGAAACAAAATATACTCAATTGAAAAAAATATTCTTTAAACTAAGATCACCGTAAAAGATGCACGGAAAGTTACAGCAAGAATTTATTTACTTACATATAAAAGAGAAAAAAAATGCTCATGGGCAGGAATAAAATAAATTGTGCCTTCTCAAGTTCCGGATAAACAAGAAGCTGGTAATTTAATCAAGATTTTCCAATGGAACGAAAAGTGAAATGTAAAGGTGTCACAGAACAGTGGTGGTCAGCACAGGTGAAAGCTACGAAGAGGTGACCTCTACGGCGCATTCAACTGTATTTACGAGGGAGGGCATCTGGACAAACACAACAATTTCAAAGACAATATCAAGGACAAAAAACAAAAAAGGATTAATATTTAATTATTTTAAAATATTAATAATAAAAATAATAATATTATTAATAATAATAATTTAATAATAAAAATATAATAGTAACATTAATTATTAATAATTAAAATTAATCTATAATTTATATAATTAATGACAGATAATTGATAATGAAATATAATTACCTTTGTCTTCTCTTCCTTTTGCTCTAGAGGTTTCTCAGCCATCTGCTGCCTCTGTAGCTGCTCCTCCAGCGCCCGGCAGCGACGTCTCATCTCGTCTAGCTCTTGCTGCTTCTCAAAGTCACCAGTTTTCTGCAGAAAAATTCATTTCAGCACCTTATATGACTTACTTATGTTGCAAGAGCTGTAAAACTCTTACTAAAACCAAGCAGAATACAATACCTAGCTATTGTTGTTTTAACTCATCCGGGATGAGCATTCTGGTCATTCGACAACACTTGAAGACGAGCTTTTTTGGGGAACACTTTAAGAAGGAAGCATTCACACAGTCACAAACACACCCACAAACACACACACACATACACACACACACAAACACACACACTCAGAAACACATAAAAACAAGCACATACACTTTAAAAACACCACTGTCCGTTATTCAATAGTCTAGATGTGACAGCACATAACTATCAAACATTGTGTTCTGTCTCTGTCAAATAAATGACATTCTCGTCTTAGCAAGACTTGATAGTTAAGAGTTATTCATTGCTTATTTTTGTGACATTAAAGTTTGATGTAGAAGAAACATACCAGGCTCTTAGCAGCTGTCAGTCTCTCCACTTTCTTCTCCAACTCATCTACTTCAGTCTCGAGTCGAGACTTGGAAGACTTGAGTTTGTTCACCGACCTCTCCTTGCGACCTGTGACAAAATTTTGGCAATGCACATTTAGTTTGAGAATCATCTATCTTTATATGACAGAACAAGAGAGAAAGGGGAAGGGGTTGGGGTGGAGGGAAAAAGACAGAGGGAAGAAGAGTGACAGACAGAGAGACAAGTAAGCCAGCCAGACAGACAGATGGGTGGATAGAAATAGAAAGAGAGAGAGAGAGAGAGAGAGAGAGAGAGAGAGAGAGAGAGAGAGAGAGAAAGAGAGAGAGAGAGAGAGAGAGAGTGTGTGTGTTGATGAGCGTATATATGCAAGCATGTATTTACCATGCTGCAGCAAATTCTCTTTGTGGAGGTCACTAAATTGTTATCTTATCTTATCTTACCCAGCTCCTCTTTCACGTCCTCCAGCTCCGTCTGCAGCAAACCTTCACTTTCTTTCTTCTTCTTCAGCTCACGCTTCAATCTCTCTGCAGCACTTTGTTGCTCTTCCAGCTGTTCCTGTACATCGTAAAGTGAATCACACTCAATCTTACTTCCAACAACCACAATAATAATAAGAACAATAATAGTAAAACTATAATTATTATTTTATTATCATTACTATTATTATTGCAATAATTACTATAATAATGCACACAATTTCTATGGGGGGCCACTCCCATATAAAACAGCTCTAGGTGCTTTACAATACCAGCTTGTTAAATGATGTGGAACTAAAACTTCCTGACCTTCGTCAATGATTTAAACTGGCACAGTCATTCTCAGACCACCATGAGAGGAGAAGACAGACTGCAGAGAACATCCTTTATAAAACTTTTCCTTTTTATTAAGGAGGGGGGGGGGGTGTAAAAGTAAGTGTTGCACATCCGTATCATTAGTATTTAGATCATTTGGGAGGGTGACTTGGACCCTACTAGTCAAGGAAAATCCAGGCTGAGGGGAGACAGCGATCCAGCAGAAAAGTAATTTTTTACCAGATCTAAAGAAAGAAAAAACAACAAAATAAAACTACAAAACAAAATAAAACTACGATACAAAACATTACCAAACAAAACAACACATACGGATATCTCCTTGGTGTGCTCGTTGATCAATTTCTGGATGTTCTTCTCCTGAGCCGACTCCTGAGCGTGGACATGGACGTTCTCCTGGGCCTGGGTCACCATGTCTGCTCGGAGGTCGCTCAACGCCTTACTCAGTGCCTGCACACAGAAAACAGGGAAATAGAAACAGATCAGCAGGTAACTCAACGCCTTACTCAGTGCCTGCACACAGAAAACAGGGAAATAGAAACAGATCAGCAGGCAACTCAACGCCTTACTCAGTGCCTGCACGCAAAGAACAGGGAAATAGAAACAGATCAGCAGGTAACTCAACGCCTTACTCAGTGCCTGCACGCAAAGAACAGGGACATAGAATCAGATGGACGGGTTGCTCAACACCTTTGAGTTAGGACCAAGATTTTCCTTCAGGGATGAATGAGACTCTCTCACAAACAATTTTTCAAAGCTCAGATAACCTTTTTCTTTGACCTGTCTGATAGGAAATTGATTTCCCAGCAATTTGATGTAAAACACATCCATTTCTCAGAATTTTGTTTTTAATGGAGAAATTGTATCTAATTACAATCTCAATACAAAAATGGTTGAAAAAATGGCTTGGGCAGAATGAGGAAAGGGTGTGGCAGGGAGGGAATTACCAAGGGGCTCTCGTGATCTAGGTCATGGATTTGAAACCTGAAAGCAACAGAAAAATTTCTTTTCGCAAAAAAATTTCACCTTTTATCTCCTTTCCAGCTCTCTAATAATGTTCTGTCATCTGCTTTCATCTGCAAGCTCATATGACCTTATGCGGTCGCGAAAAACAATTCAAAATATCTTTTTAAAAGAGTAACCGATTCTCACCTGATGTTGCTTCTCCTTCAGTGCCAGCTGGTTCTTCAGCCTCTCTACCATGTTCTTCATGGTGCTGGTTGGACCACGCTGGGCCGTCTCCTTCAAGGCTTCGATTTCCTCTTGTAGCACCTTCACCTCCTGCCGCAGCTCTGAGTTCTCCCTGTGGACTTCCCCAACTTCCCCTTCTTTCCTTCCCAGCATCTCCCGCTGCTCCTCTGTCAGTCTGAGGATTTTGTTTGTGTGGAAAGAAGCACATTATAAAGTAGATTAATAAAACATGTTCATTTATTGTAGTAAGTCCTAAGTTAAATTTATTTCCAGTTAGCGAAAAATCAAAAGTCTGCTAATTTTCGAATAGCTTATTTTTTTAAGACAAAACACACCAGTACAATCCTTTGTTCATGGAAACGAAACCAAAACCAGTTCAAAATAGGCTGTCCCTTTGAGAATAACTTGAAAAAGAGTCAAATTAGTCGTAATGTCATTACTTTTTATCATGTGTTGTCCTGTGTTTGTTTACTAACCCAGCATGGTTTTTGTAGCTAGAGTACACTACAAGTACAAGACCTATTGTATAGTAACTTATCAACTTTCACTCATTGAGGACGTGCATTCTGGTAATTCAACATTTCAAAATACAATGTTTTGGGTCAAATGAAAAAGCATAACCTTATTATTCATAACGATTTCTCAATATGACTTTCTTCATCTAAATTTTAAAAAGGCAGGCTATATCATACATACTATATAATATGCAAATTTGTGTTTCTGATTTGTGTTCGAAAAGTGCTGCAACACTGTGCGGGTGTAGATAGCCTTTTTTTTTTGAGTGGGGGGGAGATTACATGCCAGTAGTGTTAAAGTTCGCTTTTACAACCTTCCTTTGTTACATTCACACAAGTGCTGTAAAGTAATCCATATACCTGCTGTGTTCTGATTCATAATTTTTCCTCGCCACCTCTAGGCTGGCCCGTAACTTGAGATTTTCTCCCTCCTTTTCTCGTATCTTTTCATGGAGGGCGGCGATGCTGTTCTCCTGCTCTGCTACAGTGTCCTCCAGTTCATTCAACCTGTTCAGCTGGAAAATAAACGACAGTAGAGGTCAGGTGAAGGAATTCGGAAGTAGTCATTTACACAGGCTATTGTCTTCAAAGTGTGAGTGTATCAACAGTAACAGTGGCGGGACCTTCCAATTTAATGTCCCTCTCCATTAGGACTGGTGACTGTCTTGGACAGGGGGCAGTAAGGGTAGGTTCAACTCTGCCGTAAGCTCACAGAACGCCTTTTTTTATTCACAGTAGTTTCGAGAAAAAAGGCATTTTGATAGTGTAACCACTAAAGAAAAGTCGTTTTTCCAAAATATAATTCTAATTTATTAAAAAACTAATCACAGTTTCACATTGGTTTTTTTCACACAAGTGATTTAGCAAATTAAAAAATTTGGCACCAGAAATGAAAATTGGCATTTTGTCAGCATGGGGCAGAACTGTACTTCTCATTTGTCACCACACCTGATGTTTGGCAACGTTCAAAATCCTAAAAGGAGGAAGAAAGACAAAATGTGAGGCAGCGTGGTGGAATCAGGCTCTCGTCAATTTTTGGGCATGTAGAGTTATTGGTATCATCTTAAAGCTTGTTCACTTGTCTTTATGTGGATGAAAAAAATATCCATTTATCTTGAATACAAATCGAGATATTAGCGAATGAAGGAGGAGGGCGTCACCTGTTTTCAGAGGTAAAATTAGTGAGAAAATGGCTGCCAAAGATAAGTTATTTCTTAAGAGTCTGTGTTAACTGAAAATTTACATATTTAGTGCCTTTAATCAATGTTTTTCAGAAAAATCCACACAAAAATGAGTTCTTTAATAGGCATGAAAAATGTTGAGCCAAACAACTAAAATTGGATAAAAATTCGCAAACCTGCGGAAAAATGCAAGTTTCTTCACTTTGATTATTTTGACGAGAGCCTGATTCAGCCACGCTGTCTCACATATGGGGAAGTACACAAAATCAAAACCAAGCTCACCTGCTGAGCAGAAATCCCCTTGCTTGGCGTCTGCTTGTTAATGAGTTCCCGTGCTGCATCCTTGAACTTGGTGAAGGCCATGTCGGTGTTGACGTGTAGCTTCTGCTGCATGGCGCGCAGCTCTTGCTCGTGTCGCTTGTTCATCTCCACCATGTCCTCGCGGCCCTGACGCAGCAGCTGCTGGTACTTGGCGATAGTCTCGTCCTTCTGGTTCACACGTTGCTGGTGGTGGACAGGGACATTTAAAAAAAAGATATAGTAAGAGTTTCACAGCGCTTGCAACACAATAAGGTCATATAAGTACCACAAATCAGAAGTGAAACCAGAGAGCAACTAGAGAGTCTTTTTTTAATTAGTAGGTGATTTTACCCCCCCCCCCCCTCCCCCCTCCCCCACCAGCAGTTTTGATCATTTCAGGGATACAAGATGCAACAGGGAAATATTGAGATATCCTTTGAATGAAGGTGTCATATTTACAATTCACTAGATAAATGTAAGTGAATTTTTGTACTGCAGAAGAAATGTTCAAATCCCATCCACAAAATTAAATTGGAGTCTTCTTAAACGAAAATCTGTGACATCACCGGATTCTCTTCAGTTTAGCTGTGTTTTCAGTTTACAAAGATTGCTAGATTCTATTAGCTATCAGTTTTACCGCATTTTCTGAATGATTGTGACTGGTGTAAATTGACTCCACTATATTATACATTTTTTGGGCTTTTTTTCCCCCCATACAATTCCACAAAAGCAAATCTCCAGTCAAAAGACAGCCCCTAGACAACAACCTGAAGACTGTGCACGGTGCTCTGGGCAATCCTGAGAGCTTGCTGACCCTCGTAGTCAGAGCCTTCTGTCTCCTGCCGCTTCACCGCTTGCTGCACCTTGGCTTGCGCCTTCGTGATGATCTCATCGCGGTCAGCCGTTGCCGGCATGCGTAGGCGCAGCTCAGAGATGAGTTTGTCTCTCTCGATGATGCCTCGCTCTGAGTCTCTCAGCTGTTTCTCCAGCTCTTGATTCCTCTGATGATGTGCAAAGACAAAGTTTTTGGTAGAAGCATTATTAATGTTTTAGTAAGAGTTTAACACCACCTCCAACACAAATAAGTCACATAAGTGCGGAAGATAAGAGGTGTTACTAGAAAGTAACATAAAAAGAAAAAAAAAAGGAGAGATAAGGACACAAGATGTTTCATAGATAAGAAGAAGCAAACCACACCAAAGAAACGACCTACTTATCAATTCTGAAATTTTAAAAATTTTTAACACCTAAAAATCAAGTCCTTGGCTTGAAAGCATCGATCAGATGGGAGAAAGCTGACAATATGAAAACAATGTTTTTCATTTTCACCACTGCTGAACATGAAAATGGTAAAAAAAATTACCTGAACACATACAGATTTAAACATTACAAAAGATTTCTATGTAAAAAAAATTACAACAAAAATAGTTTCACAACTGACAATTCTCCCACCATATGTGGGCCTTCCATCAATAATAAAAACTTCTAGCTGTAGTTAATATGTTATTGTATTCAATATCTAAGGCCATTGGCCAATATCACATAAAACATACATATTTTACAAAAGAGACTTCCATGAAACAGTATAATTTATAAATGACACACACAAAAAGCTGTAGTCAATAGAACAGCTTTATAAACTCACTATCTTCACAACTTTGATTTCAGCCTGGGTATCAAGGATGACCTTGACATTGCCCTTGATGGTTGAAATAGCCTGCTCCAGCTGGTTAGCCACAGGCAGCTTGGCGTTAGGAAGAGCTCCGATGGCTTGCTCAAACTGTGGGGAATTCAGCGGTAAAGTCTCTCGTCATCATCTTATTCCAGAACATTCCAGACAAAGTGAAAAGTTGAAGATACTTATAAAAGGGGCAAGGTGGACAAAGGATCGTTCAGCTTTCTTTGAGTTCAGCTTGGCATTGTTTTACATGTCTTTATTTCCTTAACCTTTCTGTAAGTGCCAGTGGTGATATTCTGCCTCTGAGCACAGCAAACATCTCTCAATTATCACAAGAACAGAAACAGCCCAGACATATGACCAATATGCTTGCTTAGTGGCCACGTCAATGAAGCAGCCCAACATCTGCTCCTCAAATGTCCCAAACTACATAATTTTTGCTTCGTCCTGTCCCTGCCAAAGACAAAACTCTATAAGGCAGCAAAGAACAAACATTGAAGACCCCCCACCTTTTTTAACATG